TATATCGCATGTAAAATGAAAATGAAGCACGAAATGTGATGTGTGGGAAAAAGTACCATCTCTGTGCAATTTGATCATTAAATTTTTTTTCTTGATTCGGTAAAACAATCTTATCGCCACGAGATATGTCATAGCGGCGACGAATCATGATGCATGATTATTTATAAAGGACACCTTTGTTTGGGCTCTAGGTATTGTAAGTTCATTACAGTCTTTAAAAGTTAATTATCGTGCAAAAAAAAAACCGCTGTAAAGAGTGGTTAAAGTGGTTAACTGATTAGTTAATTTATTTATTCATCACTGCTGGCGACAATATACCCAACTAAAATTAAAAACCTATTATTATTATTATAAATTTAGCCAGAGAAAAAATTCTAAGAGATTTGAATCCACAACCATTGAGTTGCTAGTCGAAACTCTTGCCTATTCGGCCACTTAGGCGGATAATTAAAAACCTTAATTACCTCGTTTTAGAGAAAATCATTGATCAAAGCTTATAATAATATCAAGGCCATAAAACTCTGAAGCTTACATCACTATGAGATTATAATTAGAAGTGAGCAGCAAAGAGTATACAAATATGTGTTTAGGGTTGATATATATTAATAAATAGAAGAAGCTAAGTAACTATATGTTTACAGTTACCTAAAAGGTGTTACTTCTAAGGTGTGGTCAGAATCCACGACTATCAAGTCTCTTCAGCTATTCGGCAGCTGGAGTGCGTTTATTAGTTTTTTTAAAAAGAAATTATCCTGAAATAAATTCGCAAGAAATAATTCACTTAAGTGCACTTTTTTCTAAAAAGCATCACTAGTGTGCGGTTACCTAATTATCGTTAGGATAAAATGATAAAAACTGTTTACTCGCGTCTGCAGGAAAAGGCGGACATTTTCTGACTATAATATTGAATATTTTTTATAAAAATTACCACCTGAACCTCTGCCTAATAAATAGCTAGAATAATGTTTCTAAAGACAACAATACACATGGCAACCCTAGAGATCTTATTCTCTAACGGGAAATAAATGCTTTCATCTCCTCGTAGGTGTAGTAGTTCGCTGTATCTTCTCGGTGAGCTATTGAAATACTGTATAGCCCTAAAGTTTTGCGCTATTGATTCCTATTTCCTATGTTTCCATTGACAACTGTCCGTTTTATGTAACCGCATTAGAGAAATTTTAATCCACGACTTCTTTCAACCGTAACACGTTCCGAATAAAATCGTTGGGGCAAAGCACGATTTAAGTTATCTTTTTCCCCATTTTAATTTCAAATAATTAAAAGTTTATTTCTGCGAATATTTATATATATATATATATATATATATATATTATTTATATACATACATTTTTTGCATTCGAATGTTAGCAAAAATTCTTTGAAACTAAATGCAAACTGTACTATATAATAAAACTTTTGTTGCATACTTTCGAGTAGTATTTCTTTTTTTTTTTATATATACATATATCCATTACCGAACGATGAGAAATATATATTCATTTTGCCAAAGCGTTTGCAACGCTCAGAAGAAAGCCTTAGAGAGAACACAGGGTATTCTTGATTAACGTGAAATGATTTAAGCACGTCCGTCTGTCCGCCTGTGATATGTCTGTTGAAAAAATTCTTCCAGTGCCAAACACGAAACTATTGACTTCAAATTTAGATTGTACGCAGATTTGTATTGAAAATGGGTGAAATTGGTTGAAGAACACGCCTGAATTATTACGTAAAGTGAGAACATTTTTGTTTATCAAAATGAATAGAAAAATGGCTTTTTGCTCATTACTCATGAGCATATAGCAAATAAATTCACAAACATTTGAAGGTATACTCTATGGGCGATGCTGTAGCATCTCTGTGAAAATCGCAAATAAATTGGCCATGCCTACTCAATTTTATAGCCTTCGCAATATTATTTTTCTTTCAAAACCTTAATTAAATCTTGGCCAGTTTCAAATTCGGAATACGCCTAAGCATATCCGCCCATCTGTCCATCCGTCCACCCGGACAATTGTGTATTATCTGTGGTAAACGCGCTTCCGTTCGCAAAAACGAAGGTATCTCCTAAAAATTCGCAAACGACCTTGAAACGACCATTTAAGTTTCGACTTTTATTCGGGCATTAGAAAAAATCGGCCATGTCCATAGAGAATATGAAAATTTAGTTCTTCTCCTTCTTTCTAGGATCGCGATGACGGGTGTAAAAGATTCCGTTACGACCGAATATAATTGTCTTACTTGTTTAAATAGAGTTTTATTTCTTTTTTGTTCAAAGTGCTCATGATATATTCATGATATCTTATATCCGTATTTATGCATCCACAGAAAGTATTACATACGGTTATGTATTTAAAACGAGAAAAGGTTAAACGAGTGGGGTTTTTTATAAGGCATCACGAGACTATAAAAATATATTAAATTTGTTCTTCTGCTTGTAAATTTGTTCTCAAGAAATACTTTTCAGTAACCATAAATATTTTATATATATAGGGTTCTGAAACCACTTAACCGCGTTCGTCAATCTGTCATTTCTTGTCGGAACCATTGCACGCCCGAATACTAATATCGAATGGTAAAAATGGCTAAAATTGTTCCTATTGGATAGTCGCTGCTTCGAGCTGAATATGAATGAAGCTAGTCCTTGCAATGTACTTGCCCCCCCAATAAACAAACTACTCTGTAAAATGTGATTTTGAATCATTATTGGTAAGCAATAAAGATAAATCACTCTGAGAAAGCTGAAAAAAAGAGCAAAAAAAAAAAGAAATAGAAAAATGAATGAAAATATTATAACCAGGCAAAGCCAGCCTAATAATACTTTACATTATTTCGTCTAATAAATTACTTTCTTTATTTTCGTTATAAAATACGTCTTCTTATTACTGCCCACTTTTCATGGGCTCAAGGTGTAATCCACCCTACTCCAAAAATAAAACAATATTTTTGCCAAGGATGTTTTAATTCTTTTAAAAGCTTAAGCAAACATTTTTTGATCCAATATATGTGGCCAACAGAAAGAACGCAGCCAAGAAAAGTTTAAATCGTTTCAGAAAATGAATAGATCGGGATAATGAAGAGTGAATCTATCTGAAGTCTTTCTTTGTATTATATATATATAAGAATCATTTACTGAATTGATCGTTGTAAGTGGAAAATTGGATGTATTTTAAGTCCTTCTGGGTATTACTTATATAATCGCACAAACTTGATTCTTCATATATACAAGCGACATCGGGCGCTAGAGAATTTCTATTGAGACTACTTTCAAGACAAACACAAGTAAACATTCCTTAAATTGCTTACAATTTTTTTAAGCCCATACATTTTAAACATATAGAGTAATAAATATCAATTCCGTTATACCTTCCTATAGCTTGTATTATAGAACGGAAAGATCTATTCAATGTTATTGTAATGGGTCTAACCCGACAATTATCGATTTATGCCAACGACCGCGCATTCTAATGGAAGGTTTTCTTCTAAGCAATCCGAACTACTACTACCGAGACTCTCTCAGCCGAGAGAGATTCTGTTTCGATTTCCTTGAATGCTTAAAAATGATCAACTTTTGGATTTATATCCGTTAGAGTTATCAGTAATAAAGAAATAAGTTTATAAATATTTTTATTAATTCCGGAGTCTTTTTACACGTTACGAATTTTTTTAAATTGAAAAGTAAATTCTTTACATATATATAAGATATATAGAAAAGAAAAGTTCTTTTACGATGAAAATTGTCATCTTCTTTAAAGTGACCTTAAGCTGAACGATTGAAGTTGAGCGTCTAATAATTGTGAGCGAATTCAGGCTGTAAAGTTTTCTACACGTTCATCATCGAATCAGAAAATGCGCGACATATTTTTCTTACAAATGCCAAACAAATCTAAATTAACATTCACTCCATCTGCTCCAGCGTGCCATCATTTCTTAGAGGAACGAAAAGATTATGAAACAAAAAACCGGAGTCCAATTTTCTCAAAAGGCATTCAACTGTGTACGATAATTCAGAGAATTGTAAAGGCTAGCAAGTATTAATTCAAATAAAATATGCATGGTTTGCATATGTTGATTGTTCCATAATGAACTGACAAACCGCAAAAAAAAAAAAAAAAAGAAAACGAAAGTGACATAATCGAAAGAAGCTGTAACATAAACTCAAAAGAGGAGGTAATGGAAATAATCGATAAAAGAAAATGAAAACTTGAAATCGATTCGATTTAGATTTACGTTTCACTTGCCTGCAGGCCAGGCCAGCCCATTATATCCGTTCAATATGTAATGTATAATTGTAATCGTATTTCCATTCGTAAGGAGGTAATAATCAAATAATGAAGAAGAAAATAGAAACTTTTATTTTTTATATATATGTATATAGTCGTTGCTTTTCATTTGATTTAATTGAAACCTCAATAAATATTTTAGTTCATCATTGCTCGACATGATAACGTTGGAGAGAAAGGTTTATAATGTAATTTATTGTTACAACAGTTAAATAAACATCTGTATAATATATAGAATACATATACATATACATATATATATATATATATATATATGATAGTGTTATAAAATATTATCAAGAGCTGTAATAATAGAAGAGAGATAATAAAATAAATGTTTCTGCTGCTTAGACTCAATTTAATGGATTCGAATTTTAATTTATTTATTTAAACTAATATAAATTATTATACCATTGAGTTTATTTTGCCATTTATTTACATTTCGTATGTTATTAAATGGAGAATTTTATCAAACTGTATCGTAACGAACGAACGAACGAACGAACGAACGTACGAAAGAGACGTGAGAAGAAGCAATAAACATAAATTTTCTATAAAATTTAAAATTTATTTTACATAAATTTTCCCTTTATTTGTAATAAATAAAATGTTAAATTTACTTTTCTTTACGATTTTTTTTTTTTGTTTTTTTTTTTTTAGAAATTTAAAAGTCTTTAATTAATTGAAAATAATTGAAAATTTACATATCTCTCTTTACAGCTTTGTTAAAAGGAAAGAATTTGAAAATTGAATAACTTATGCTTCTGGCAGTCTCTATGCTAATTGCTGTCGGTGTCGGTGGTTGAATTATTGTCTTCAACATTTTTTTTTTAAGGTAAGAACTTAAATTTCCAAAATTCATTCATAAATCTTAAGAGTATTTTTTTTTTTGTCTGTTTATGACCATTCAGCATTGACTGTGTTATATGTATCTATCTACAGTTAACATATGTTCCTGGTTAGGCCTTTTATTGCTACTGCTCTAGCTACTGTGACTTTTCGCTGCGAAGCAATGTTGCTTTCGTTTTGCTTCACTGTTTAAGAAGTGTCGCCTTGCCTGCTTAGAACTATTTATATATGTAGGTGTTTATGTGTGTATGTTTGTGTGTTTTGTGTGTGTGTGTGTGTGTGTGTGTGTGTGTGTGTTTGTATATGTTTTTAGCATGTGTCACATTTGTAACGTCTGAAGTGCAAATATTGTCCATGGCGTTGTGCATTGCTATGCTGCCATACACGATTGTTTGTTGCTCAAGTTGTTGTTCGAAAAACCCCAAACACCAGCCACATCAATAAATCAAAGTCAAAAGAGCACAAAGCCAAGACATACCAACATTTACATATACATATGTACTTACCGCTTGGTTAGCTGATGTTTAAACATAACGCATGCATGGCCTGCCTGTGTGTACGAGTGCGATTGTGAACTCATGTAAATATTGTGTTGTTAGTTATGTTCCGATGTGTTTCTTACTTCCCACGGGCTCAGCTCGCTCAGCTATAGATATTGTTTCAGTAATTGTTTTCACAAGTTGTTTTTCTTGTTGTTGTCTATGTATGCGTTTATGTCTATATATCCAACAATAAATTCTCACTTCATTATATATATATTTATATATATATATACGTACGTCTTTGTATATGTACGTGTGCTAGAAGAAGTGTTATAAACAGTTACTTGACTGATAGATAAGCTGTGACTGCAGCACTGTCGGCTGTTACATAACAATTCCAGGCGGGACAATAAAAACACACTTTACCGCACTTCACTGCACTCCACTTTATATGCACTTGGAACGAAGCCCATAATAAAATGTACCCTAGAGTTCTAAAAAATAAAGAAAGAAGCAAAAAAAAAGAAAAGAACAGAAAGAAAGACAATAGCATTAAAGAAAAGGAAAACCAAAGACATTTTGTTTTTTTTTGTTTTTCTTTTTTTTTTCTTTTTTTTTTTATAAAGTCACGCCATATATATAAAAAGGTTGCAATAAAAAAGGGAAAAAAAATCTTAAATCAAATAAAATTGAAATTTCATTTACTTGCGGAGCAGGTGACAAATAAAATAAGAATAGATTGAAGACAAAGTTATGAATATATAGTAACTCTATTATCCAGATGATGCAAAAAATAATTTCTTGAATTCCTTAAGACTATTCTTTTAAAATGAAGATAACCAAAGATTTCTGGCATTCCCTAGGGTAAAAACTTTTTCAAATCATTTTGTATATAAAAGTTTGTCGATTACTTCATAACACTTTATTTTGAAATATCATGTGGATATTAAGTGAACTTATGTAACATATTTAAGATAGGCTGTGGCCCGCTATAACATTTGTACCGCCTGTTTTCACGCAAAAAAGGTTCTTCTTTTAATCGAAAATTAACATTTTTCACTGGAATGCTAGCCAACCATACAAAATTTAATATTTCGATGCTCATCACCGAAGAATGAGGGGTACATTCATTTTGTCAAAACGATATCAAAGCCCAGAAAGCCGCATCTGAGACTCTACAATGTATATATTTGGTCAGCGTCAAAATCTAAAGCGATTTAAGCATGTCGGTCTGTCCGTCAGTCCTTTCTGTGAGTCTGTCCATCTGTGAAATGTCTGCTATAAATATTCTTCTGGCCGTTAAAACGCAGCCATCGACTTCAAATTTGACAGAAACATTGAAAGTGCGTGCACGCAGGTTACGCAACGCGCACATCGATCGAAGGAGACACACACACACACACACACAGCATCACCTAAACTGAGAACACCTCTGTTTTTCGAAAGGAATAAAAAAATGGTGTTTTTGCTCACTACTCACAAACTATAGCAGATAAATGTACAAAAATTTGAACGCATATTGGAATGGAAAAGTTGACTACACCTATCCAAAATGTACCTTTTTTTTGCAATACCTTGATAACGCGCAGCAAAAAGCTTCAAAAACCTCATAAAATATATAAATTCTTGGCCAGTTTCAAATTTAGAATGCACCTAAGCATACCCATCCGTTCTGTCTACGCAATTGTGTAGTATTTGTGGTATAAGCATTCTCCCGTGAGCGTAAACTAAAATATCGCCTAAAAGAATTTGAAAGTTTTTCAAAGGGCACGCCTACAACGTCCCCACGCCTACGCGAAAACGATTTCTATTTTGAAAGTAGAAAAAATCGGCCGCGCCCATGAAAATTCAGTTTATTTACATTTTTTTTGTCGTTTTTAGGATAACGGTGATGGGTATGAAAAATTCGGTCACGACAGCGAATATAACTTTCTTACTTGTTAAAATCAAAATGGGCTCGGACGGTAGGGTATTTTTTAATTGAAAATATTTGACGAGACTCACTCGGGTTTTGAGATTTTTAAATATATTTTTCCAAAATGATTTTTTTTTTTTTCTATTCTAAAGCATGATTAATAACCTTCTCAACGACTATTAGTTCATAAATTGCGTTAATTTCTATTCAAAAAAAAAAAAAAATTTCAAAAAACATTTTATTTGTATAGTCTTAGGTGTTCGCCCTTAATACCGATAGTTAGCTAAAATATCTTTAGGTTAATATTTGTTTGTTTATGTAATAAAAAAATTTTTTTTTTTTTTGTGGAATATTTGTATTAGTTAATCTTGCTTGGAATAATTAAAATTAACATTGAAAGCTTTTTTCTATATACAACACAGAACGGAAACACATTCTGGACCCATTCAGAAAAATGAAAAAGTAGTTCTCTCTCTTTCCTTTCAAGAGGAATTAAAGCAGAAAATTTTTTGCGGTATTTAACTCGAATGTAAATTTTTCAAATATTTTAGGTAAGGAATAGTAAATGTAGTATTTGCATAAGTAGAATGTTTAGTTTCGTATAAATATTTGTGTGTACATACCTTTGATTGTTATTGCTTAACATATGACCCGTTGAAGGTCGTAACTTGTTATACATTATACGCTAATGTATGTACATATGTTTTTCTTCTTCTACTTCTTTTTCTTCCCCGAATTTCTATTACAAATACTTTTCAAGGTATATGGAACTATATTAGATGAACATACATAAGCATGTATAGATACATGTGTACATAGATGGATGTATAAGTATGTATAAGCTTTTTATTACACTGTAAACCGATTTGAATTTCAATTTGATTGAATTTTTCTTTTATATGAAATTTATACTGAAACAGGACAGAAAAAACGAACGTAATAACCAACAACAGCAATAGCGTATATAAATGTAATAAATATATCGGTGTTGTGTTCTCCTTCTCTTTCTCTTTCTCTTTCGTTTTCTTTTTCCTTTTCGATTTTTGTAAAAGTAAATTTAATGAACACACACTCTTGTATTTATTTACAAACGACTAACCTTATGACCGAAACAAAAGCAAACGTAAGGTCATCTAGAAAAACATTTTGTTGGTATTTAAAACTCAACTCAAGTTCTCACATTCATTCCATCAAGATACCGAGAGCCAGTCTTGGGAAATATTGTGAAATAAAAAAAAAAAAAAAAAAAAAATTTTTTTTGGACCAAAACAAATCACTTTGCGATCCTTTTTCAATTATCTGCACATCAGAGAAGAACAAGTGAAAGAAAAAGGGATCAAAAATGTGTATACACTTACATAAACCTACATGCTGATGAACATACTCATATGTACATATATGTGTTATAATATTCTTGAAATGAAAAAGGATTATTATGACTTTATTATAAACTAACAAAGAAGAGAGAGAGAGAGAGAGAGAACTCAATTTCTCCATATCCTATTTTTCATTCATGTTGTCGTCGTCGTTGTTGTTGTTAAGTTAGTTTCATTTTACATTCATTAGTTTTAAGACTTAATTTTATATCTTATTTAAAGAGGTTGCAAGCGATGGGAAAGGAAATGTATAAGGTTGACGCAAGTATACGGTTTTTTTTAAAGAGAAAATAACTTAAGAAGTTTTTGTGGCTTAAATGTGAATATTTCTAAGAAACAATATTGTGTTGTGCTTTAACTATGTAGACATTTGAGGATATAAGCGTGCGATTGAGGTATGTTCAGGATATTTTTTCAATTAAATAAATTGTTTTTTTGAGGCTTTTATGGTTAATTCTTATTTAAACGCTTAAAGAATTTTTGGCATATTTATTTCAATCTAATTTTAATAGATTTTTCATGTTTAAAGAGAATAATTCAAAACAGAAAATTATGCGCTCGGTTGTCAGAAATCAACTTCTTCAAATATCGCTAAACAGCTCTCTGTGAATTCTTAAAGTAGTCTCTTTGAGCACAAATTTTGCTTCTTCTTATCTAAACTGTTTCAGATAAGTTTTTTTCCATAGCCCGCAGGCAATGTATTTCATCAGTTCGTTTAACGATAGTGAAAGAAGAAGATCTCTAACTTAATAAATGATTCGTTGAAATACTCGCTTTTCATTTATTTTTTTCAATTTTTCTTCGAGAATAAGTTCTTCCCGCCTACTGTTTCGTATCCTCTACGAAACTAGAATTAAAGCCACAAACCTTGTTCGCAAAGGCAAACTCATAACATTTATCGTCACAAATAGTTTGTTGACAGTAAAACTTATCGGAAACCCCCACGATTCTAGCTGAGTGACAATTAAGACAAGAAGGAAGACCATAGCCTCCTGCGGGGCCCAAATTACAATTTTTTGTCTACTAAGACATATTGGTGTCTTGACAAACGAGCGAGCAGACGTACAAGCCAAATTCCCATCGTCGAAAAGTACGGTGAAAAAGATTGACCTTCAAATATATATTAGAAAAGTAAAGTAAAAGTGGTAAATTGACAAATTGACTGAAAATTGACAGTGCTACGAATCAAAACGCTCTTATGTTAATCCTAATT